GCTGATATTCCATATAAGATCCGGCCATACTCGTGAACCGGTGCCAGCGACGCTGACCGCCAAATTGACAGAATGCGAAACTGAGCCCACTCATGAGTGAAATTTACGTCCTTTGATGGCGCAAGAAAGAAAATGAAACATACGAAAAGCTTTTCTAGGACTTTTGTTCGATCTGAAAGGTGGGGCCAAAAGATAGTATGGCCCCACCTTTCAGCACCAAAGGGGGGGCCATGGCCCCCGTGGCCCCCCCCCCCTGGGACCGCCAGTGACCGGCGGCGGGATTCGAGCCCCCCAGTCGCCGACGTCGGCATGTTTACTGGGACAACACGCCAAAAGCATCAGCTTGCGATAGGTTTCGAACCCAGTGTCATTCGAACGCGAGGTTAGTACGCTAACCACTACACCACGCAGCCAGCTAACGAGTTTGGTTTGTTTTGTTGGGTTATGCCCTTTCGGTCTGACAAGACCATTTCAGAGCCGGAAGGATCATAGGATGGAGACATTGGTCTTCTTGGCGAGCACCCTGGGTCCAGTTCATATAGAGTCCCTGGTCCCATTGCTGTTACGTGACACTTATTGGAAAGGGCGACCCCACAATGGATTCATATAGCCACTCTTACACACCTGCACCAACGTTTCCCAAAGTGTCCCTTTGATAAGTGGCACTTTGGCAAAGTGACACTTGCCGACTGGCCTTTCTAGATGAACTGGGCCCGGCCCTGGTGAGTTGCCGGGGCTGAGCCTGACCAAAGGATAGGCCGAGCAGCCCCCAAGCACTCACCGCACCCGGCTACGGGCGAGCTCGGCTTACGGGCAATCCCAAATGGGATAAAGTTTCCCGTCCAGTCCGGATCAGGGGGTTGCGGCGTGGAGGAAGATTTGAGTTTCCTGAGGATATTTTGAATACAGAAGCTCTTTATGAAACATGAAACATGTATTTTATATTATTTTAACGGTCAAAACAGCGGCCGATGTCGGTCCGACGTCGCCCCGACGTCGGCCCGACATCGGCTGGACCTCAGCAATTGATCTCGGTCCGACGTCGGCCCGACGTCGGCTGGACCTCGGCTGGACGTCGGAACATGCGGGCATATCCGACATCCAGCCGACGTCGTACCCAGGTTGGACCGACGTCGGGCCGACGTCGGCATCCCGATGCCGAGTTGCCGACGTCACCCCGACGTCGGCCGACGTCGGCATGTTTACTGGGGAGGTCTAGAACTTCCAAAAAAGTTATTTTTCAAAAATTTTGTGTGTCGTGACGTCATAAAATTTTGAATAACTCCCACATTTTTGAACCGATTCTTCTAAAATTTGGTATGTAGGTGCACATAGACCACTTCTCTGACATATATTCCGGTTTTTCGATAGACTTAAAATTTTGGATTTTATAATGATTTTCCCAAAAAAATCAGTTTTTTGAAAAAATTTAGGCCTAAATCCAAAAGTTTCAAAAAACCGAGACAGCCATTTGATAGACAAAGTAAAATTACGTATAACCTTTTTTGTTACGTCTTGATTCCTTTAAAAATGAAGATGTTAGCGGCGTTTGAACTTTTGCCGTTTTTGAGGCGAAAATGGCGAACATGACGTCACTAAAACGTCAATTTCTCAAAAATTTTCCGACGGATTTCGCTCAAATTTTTAGGGAAGGTGTCAAATTGATGTAAGAAAAGGTACTGAAAGTTTGGCGGCGCTGCGCGCCGCCGTTTTTGAGATATCGCAAAAATTCGCGAGGGGGGGGGTAAAATTTACCCCCCCAGCCCCGCGCGGGTTAAATTCCTACTACACGTCATTGGTTGACTCTAATCAATAGGCGTTAGTCGGGAAAATCGGGACCTGCTAGAATGTCAGAAAGCCGGCTTGTAGTTTATACTTATATTTTTTTTCTTTCAGGGTATCCTGATCTGGATTTGATGTTTGTTTATCGCGAGAAAACAATATTTTATTCGTATAAAAATGTTCCCGGGTACCGAGTCTGTTGCAAATAGGTTTGTGGTCGTTAGCCATCCAATCCGAACGGTAACGGTTATTCTAACCTTGTGGAATTAAACCACTGCTGTTTTGCCAATTTGACAGTTGCCCTGCGTTCTTTCGTTGTGTTTACAGAAGTCGCCTTCGGCTCAGCACGTTCTCACCATTATTGTCAAGGATCAACATTCAACATTATCCGGCGTCACATTGTGTACGAGCCGGGGCTTCCTGCCCGTTCTCGGTAGTTGAGTTTAGCTGCGTGAGGGCCGCCACGCCCCTTGCCTACTGAACGCTGAATGCTGGGCCAAAGCCAGCCGCACTGCCAAATAATCGGTCCTGAGACGTCTAAGGTCCAGACGCCTAAGGTCTCGGACTCTCGGTTATAAGGAAGGTCTCGGACTGGGGCTATAAGGAGCCATGATTTTCGTTTCGTTGCTAAAACATAACGGCCAGTTACTCTCTGTATAACCGTTTGCATAATGCATTCTGCAAGCTGCGAGCAAAATAACACAACTAAGCCGTAGCATTTCTTGAATCAAGTAGGTACGAGGTGTGCATAACTCTCCCCTCTCTCTCTCTCTCTCTCTCTCTCTCTCTCTCTCTCTCTCTCTCTCTCTCTCTCTCTCTCTCTCTCTCTCTCTCCCTCTCTCTCTCTCTCTCCCTCTCTCTCTCTCTCTCTCTCTCTCTCTCTCTCTCTCTCTCTCTCTCTCTCTCTCTCTCTCTCTCTCTCTCATCAATGAAATTTGCATTTCCTTATCTTCGTCATTGTACTTGCTTATCGGCTGCAGTCTGTGGCAACGACTAAGTCGAAGGAAAACGGAACTCTTCCCCACATCATTCATGCGAAGCTACCCTAAAACATCAGCTCAGTTGCTAAATCGCACATTGGGGTCAAGCCAAAGTGTCTGATATTCAACTCAGGTAGGTTATGGACCTAACCGTTATAAACAGGCACATCTTCATTATCCTTCAAAGATACACTAACAACAAATGCGTGTCACTCGACGTAAGTGATGCGATCGTAAATACTTCGCCCTTGTTCGGGGATTCCGTCGCGCCCAGAGCTGCGATAATTACCGCAGCTGGTGGCGATGATACCATCAGATACCCTGACGCGAGGATCATCTGGCGGAGCATCACGTGACGGCGACGCCCCGCTCTCATTAGCGCCTGTTGACCGGCTTCCAGAGGGCGGCTCTGCCGTGACTCCCTATGGATTACTGCTGGGCTCATCTGCTGGTCAGAGGTCTCCCCTGTGGGAGTGCTCGGATTGGGGCGCATTGGGGATCTCCAATCGGCTGGGGAATTTTGGGATTCCGCTCGGTTCCCCGGAAATTGAGACTCCTCTCCCCGGGTGTGGGAGGGAGGGGGGAGGTTCTGCGTACCGCGCTGGGGTGGGGCCGGTGTATGTGTCGGTAAAAGGATTGCGCACGACAGATTAGAGAGAATGCAGGCATGTGGGTGATGCGATGTTATATAACTATCGACACGAGCTTACTCGGAGTGAGAATTGCCTGTAAATGTGCCTGAAAATCATCTCACGCGAGATCACCAATGAAATACCTCGGCATGTAACGCTGTCGGTGAGGACCGGGGACGAAAGTTCCCCTTTTTTGGCAAACCTCACTATGTGCGGCGGCTCAACCAGTTCTTCCGCATACGTTTAAATGTCGGATCAGCATCGTTTTATAAACGGGACCTCAATATTGTACGAAGCAGTCAGTGGAGTGGTCAATGCATTTCGCCTACTCATGGATAGCCGACGGGACGTCCTGGTTGACCTGACCTAACACGACTCGAACTATCTCGAATGCTTCCAATAGGTACATATTCTTTTATCAAAACAAATGAAATGCTGAATTGGAAATCGGGGTATAAAAAAAAACAAGCAAAAAAAAGTTAGGCCATTGTTTCAAGAACCTCTAGCAGGTCTCGATTTCCCTACCTTTAAGTCATTGCTCTGACCTGGAAGATCAACGACTGGCCTGTGGTTTGTACCTTAAAATTGACTGTAATCGGCTTCCTCTCGTCACTTTCAGCACTTTCTTTTTCCGCGATGCTCTAGCTTGATCAGGGGCCAAACGTTTGTGTGTGTGTGTGGGGGGGGGGGGTATCCAATCAACCCTCTTGTCCCTCTTATACGGCTGTGAACGCATACGAGCCGAAAGGCTAGTGTTCCGGCTATTGATAGGATGGACACTGGACAGCATGTTTGTCACAAAAAACTACCTCAAATCCTTACATCGCTGACCTAACGTCAGGGCAATTTCGTAAATTTTCATGAGAATCAATACGAAGAAATGATACAGCGATTTTTCAGACAAAACTCGTGCTAAACGCTAATTTTCGGACAGTAAACACATCCGCAAAGTCTTGCCTCCATGGACCATAACCATAGATCTTGTGAATTTATTCATTTCATTTCTAAAACCTTATCGAACTGCCTCAACTAGATTTAGAAAAAAAAAATACGTTGCATGTTGTTATAAGTTGAATCGTATCAAAATAAACTCATCTTACATCTAGATGACCCTGTCAGAGCTCGAGCTCTACAATTTGCGTGCTATTAGAGATATTCACCGGCTAAAAAAGGAGACCAGAAACTGCTGATTTCGTATTAAATACCTACTCGTATGGCCTTCCTTTCTGTGGTCATGACCGAATTCAAATAAGTCGACCTCACGCACTTAATTCTTATGCGAAGTCACTCAACAGTGAGTCAGAAAGTAGGAAAACTTTTACACTTTCTTCGGGTTCCTGTATCTTGAGCTAAATTCGTGCATCAACAAAAATAAAATTTGAAATAATTTCAATTTCCTTAAAACCGTGTTGTCGCTGAAATGAACATTTCCAACGAGTCTCCAGTCAAGTTCCCCACCAATCACTCTCTGGCTTGTCTGTTACCGATCCGGTCTATCCCTGTCGGTGACCGCTCCACCCCTTGGTCACGGTCCGTCCCCATCCGATTATGACATCACTGATGACGTCACCTGTCGACCGGTGACGTCACCTGGCCTCCAGGCGGCATGGTCGGCTGGGTCTGTGGCGGCGCCGGCAGCGCGCGGTCAGTTGCTCTCCTGGCCTGACGAGAGGGGGGTGTACCGCGGGCCGTCACACGCGTCATGAATCAGTGACGGCGCTTTTACTGTGTGATAGTCCTAGTTTTAGAGTGATTAGCTTCCGTCGTTTTACTTGGGTAGGTGTTTTAGTGAACAAACTCTAGATCGAAATTTCCATCTCGGAACTGAACGCTACCCGTGCCGGTGTCTGACCGGCGGCCAGGTCAGATTTTAGTGCCCTGTTACCGGAGGCGCCGATCGTTTCGCCATGGCCGGCGGCGGTGTGCGACTCCACTATGTGGTGCCCCTGGTCATTGCCTACGTGGTGGCCCGCTCGGCGCTGGCCGACCTGGTCAACGCCACCGACCCGACCGTCGAGTACGAGGTGACATCGGCGCGGCCGCCGCCGCACGTGGTGCCCCTCGAGGAGCACGCGGCGCACGTGGCGGCCCCGCACGTGGGCCACGAGAACGCCAGCCACGACAGCGGCTACCACGACCCGCTGTTCGGGCCGCACGACCCGAACCGCGTGTACACCACCAAGGAGAAGAAGTACTTCCAGGTGGGCGTGATCGACTTTGAGCGCGTGCGCACCCCGTTCGTGATCGGCTCGTGGATCCTGGCGGCCAGCCTGGCCAAAATCGGTGAGTGTTACCGGCAGCGGCGTCTCATGGTTGTGGAGGGAGCAAAATTATACCCAGTTTTACCTTCTAAAGTATACTTTCTTGCAGACGAATGGCCAGGAGGGAGTGTGTTGTCGTGTCTCACTCTACGAAGGTCCTCAGCAGTCATGTTGTAGACCGGAGTAGCATATCATACAGACGTGCTGTGGACGAAACGGTCAATTTCCATTGCTGCTGCCTTATGTGCAGTAAAAAAAGAAAACATTTTAGATTCATATGCTTTATATTGGTTCCGCCTAACCGTCAAATTGAAAAACAAAATTATATAAAAAACAATACTCTTACGTGATGTGCGCTGCTTGTTGTTTCGCAGTAATCGATAATTCTCCTGCATTTGGCCTCATAAAACGTATCAGGGCCGTACGCATAAAATGCATCTCATAAGGTCGACTCCATTTGCAATTGCATCAAACAGATGATCACAGCATCTGGAGATGTTAGTTTAATCCATTAGTGTGATTGAACCGCGTCTTATTTCCTGCACTGCAGAGTGAGTAACCCTAGTCTACTATGGCCCCTAAATTCCAGTGTAGTGACACTTTGCTCAATTGAAGTCGTCGACCGAGTAGCCACATATTCCTGAAAGAGTCGGTGAACGTAACAATCTGAATGTGAAAGGTTTTGGCACTTGAAACATTGTGCTAAAAGCCTTGTATCGTTACGTGCTTACAAGGTTCTGGTGTCTGGATCTCAAGTAGGTAAACATTATAATTTTATGCATTAAAAATAACTTTTTTACTGATGATGTGTCATTAGTTTATTGAGCAGCAATTACATTTGGAAATGAGCGTCAATTATATTGGGAAAGCTCGAATTTAAACATGCGCATTCATCAATCATGTTATTTTCATCGGCTGGCAGAGCTAGACAGCAGCTGAAATGTTCCAGACAGCTGAAGTACTAGCAGACTCTAAAAATATCAAATAATTGTTTGATGGGATTGTGCAGATGATGTTCCGCATGTATGCATTCGGGAATAAATTGCATCTAAACATTCTGACGCCACACTTAAGGTATTGCACCGCAAAACGATCGTGAGCAGGATGTCAGCACTCAGCAGTATCGAAACACATGTCTCTAATATGATAGCTAGTTGTACAAAATACAGTTGCTCATATTGTGCAGTGTATTGTGCACACTTTCACGCGTACTGTGGGGCTGAAGTGCAAAGCATAAAAAATCACCCAGGAAAAACAATTATAGAAGAAAACCCGAAGGTTTATAGTCATGAACGACTACCTCGAACTTACTCGAACAGACGGAAATATCGAATTCAGGCACTCGCCACAGTGGCTCACTTTTTCCGCGTCTGACCCGTGACATTTGATCCGTGAACCGTGAACCGGCAGTGGTCTTGACCTGGAAGACACGGCAGATGTTTGAATGTTCTCACCGCCGAGCCCATGACGAGCTGAATTTGCATTGGGCAATGTGTGCAATACGCGCACACACAGATGACTCAACAAGAATCGGGAAATGGTTTAATGGCAGTTTGTCAGCTCTTGTCAATGTTTATTTATTTATTTATTTAGACATACAACGACTCCACAAGTAGGTAGGTGCTGTGGCTATTTTGCCGAGGTGATTATGAAGGATATGAGACAAATTACTATGGAATGTGACGGAAAGGATAAGGGTACCGTAAAGTGGGGCTATTTGAGACAGTGGGGCTATTTGAGACAGTATTTAAAATCGCTATAAAATGAAGATCGTTTGATTTTGGTGTGATATTTTTGTTCAGGGAGGTGTAGAATCGGGCAGTAAATCGCCTGAACAAAAAATTAAGCATAAATTTTAGGTGGTTTTTATTTTATAGCAATTTTAAATACTGTCTCAAATAGCCCCACTGTCTCAAATAGCCCCACCTTACGGTAGTTACTAGTTGAGCAATTGTTAACAGGACTGTGAGTGCTGCTGCTGCCACAGGGGCTGCGCACATCAACAGCCTGTGCAAGGATACCGAAAAGGATATCACCAGGGCCCTAAAACAGAAAAAAAGTAAAAACAAAAACGTGAGGCGTGAAGAGGTCGTGAAGTCGAGTCGAAGTCGCTGATTCCTTCGAAAACTAATAATCTTGAATGTTTCTGGCTGTGTTATTCTGGCAGGCTGGAATGAATTTCTCAACGGTATTTCTTGGCACGAATGTTAAAATATATTTCCATTAAATTGATTGCATGTGTCACAATTTTTATTTGTGTTCGCTACTTTTTTATTTCATAGGCTGCTGGAAAATTATTGATGGTAGGCATCATAGAACTGGCACTTACTTCTTCAATGTTATCCCAATACAATGCAATGATTTATTGGTTATGTGCGACCTAGCCCTTGAAGCCTAATAAATTTGTTGTCCCTGAGTTTAGCCTTAACCCAGCGTTCCGTTTCGACCCTGCCAGTGATCGTGACTCAGATCAATTCAGCTGACTGTGAAGTGAAGTTACGATTACAGTTGGCGCTCACAGACGTCAGATATGATCGCGGCGTTACTCGCAGAAATGTATCTGTATGCCCGGCCTTCAGGGATGGCCAGGCATGATCTCGTGATTCCAGCGCAAGATATTAGGTGCATTGTGCGAGGGTCCTTGCATTTAATGTTCATGCAAATTCACCGTTATGTCTTGTATGGGCTCGTGTGCGCCTAATTGAAAACGTTTCGCTGCACAAAATCTCAGCTTTCTTGGGTTTGCTCCAATGCAACGGAGTGTTAGTTTGAAGGTCTCAGGTCTGAGTGGTTTGAGTGTGAGTGAGAGTGCAGTGTGAGTATTTGAGGGGGTTGAGTCCGATGTTATTAACTCCGGTATTAATTAGCATTGATCTAATTTTCTGGTCAGGTGCGTATTTCTGACATCAAAACATTACAGTACTTGGGCCTGCACCTGTGTCCGTTACTTGCGTAGCATTGTTCTGTTGGCAGTCGAGCAGAAATAGAATGTAGAAATATAATGAAGTACCCGCCCATTTCCGTTCAATTATGATGTCATAGTCATTCCCTGATTGCATGCTTGATCCCATTACGTGTTACGGAATTGGGAGTTGATCCTTCATTATCACAATTATTACTCCGATTTCCTCGAAGATAATTGTACCTCTTGATTTGCTAATGCATGTTCAGGAGAGTGATACTGATGGTGTTTACGTTCTCCATACTTGCTGTAGTCGTAAGGTAAAGCAGAGGGCAAAAATCAATTGCTGTTCTAAAATTTAAAGCAAAATGAAGTTTGAAATAGAAGACTACCTAAGTCGACAAATAAAATACATCTGACTACATAAGAGTAGTATATATGTATTTAATGATTTACTAGGAGAAGAAGAAAAAATGAAAAAAAGGAGTCGCTGGACGGGAACTACATATTTCCAATCGCATATCGCACATGGCGTTTTAGTTCCTACACTGCATTTGACATAAATTTGGTTCAATTTCCTAACCACTGGAAAAAGGTAACAGTTTGCCTAATTTTGTTGGTAATTTCCTATAAATAAAAGCTTTGCCTCTGCCTGCTTATGCCTTGCTCTAAAAAACACTGTTCAGTGTCACGGCAGGTGAAACCAAACGAAACCGAACGTAACCAGGCGTAACCAGGCGTAACCACGTGTAACCAGGTGCTGGTGTCAGTTGGCAGCAGCTGTTCCCTGTGCAGCCCGGCCGGGGTTTGTCTCAAGGTCCTTTTTGCGCCCAGCACTGTTCGCTGGGTGTGCATTTGACAGCTTATGGGTCCTGGATATTGAGTGTTTAATGGGCGGACTGCATACGCGTCATTTATGGAATGGATGAAAATTTGTCAGCAACAGTCAAAGTGGCGTATTTATTGAAAGTTTGAAACTGTCGACTTCTAGTCAGAATCATTTTTCTTTCGCTTATTACCATATACAAAAAGTCCAAATGTGACTTTAAATCAGAGGTGGAGATCTCGGGGGGGGGGGGGGTCGGGGGGAGGGGTCAGGACCCCCCCCCCCTGAAAACGAGTTACTGCCAGACTTGTGATCAGCTCAGTTGAGCCGGCTCAAAAATCAGCTCAGCTCATGAGCCGGCTCAACATTTTGCCAAATTGTTGAGCTGTGAGCTGAGCCGGCTCTGTAATGCATTGAGCTGAGCTGCTGTCTGAGCTGAGCTGAATGAGCTTGAGCTGAGCTGAGCTGAATGAGCTTGAGCTGAGCTGAGCTGAGCTGAGCTGAGCGAGCTGAGCTGAGCTGATTGAGCTGAGCGAGCTGAGCTGAGCTGAGCTGAGCTGAGCTGAGCTGATTGAGCTGAGCTGAGCTGATTGAGCTGAGCTGAGCTGATTTAGCTGAGCTGAGCTGATCCAGTTCTAATTCTTTTCAGTTCATGCTTGGAAATTAACTCAGGATTTGATGCTTCAGCTATGAGCTAGCTATGGAGTGAGCAATTACACTGCCTTCGTGATCGCACTTAAAAATATCAAAACTCTAAAGAAATCAATATTAATCACTAATCAAGCTTAATTTATTTCATCCATGTTGCATGGAAATTGGAAGACCAGGGTCTTGGCCAATTTACAGGCTAATACAGCCAGTCTCAAGTTTCAAGTCTGACTGCAAGATGAATACCTACTGTCAGGCTTTGATGCTTCGCCTTGACACTCTGCTCCGCAATGTACAATTCAGCATTCTTCACTTTGTTATTTAAGCAGTTATTTAAATTGATTTTATCGATAAGGGTTCTTACCTCTGCATAAAATATTTACAATTAGGAATTAGCAAATGTTCCTCTTCGTTGGTTGAATGTGGGCTAAGCAACCATATCCTATTGAAAGTGGGGTGGGGCAGAGGCGCTAACTGGAACTCTCACCTTCTGATGTCCATAATATGGGAAAAGCTCCCTTATTCACACGCCGACTATGAATTCTAATTGTGTTGACATTGCCTTGGTTGAGATCAGGGTGGTGTTTGGTTTCACTCAAGGTTTCACTGATAACAGCACGCTGCTATCACACGTGTCAAATGGGGT